GCATGAAAACAGCATTAAGTCACAACGTTTAAATGTTGTAGACTTTCAGAGCGCATTCTGATTTAACCTAATCGTGGGACTTCGGGAGGTTCGCAGTATTCACAGTTAAACATTTTCCATTTTATGGAAAATGTTTAACTTTTCCGGTTTAACTTTTCCGTTTTGGAAAATGTTTAACTTCTTTAACTTTAAATGTTTAAATTCCGGAGCAAACAGTACATTACATGTTGTACCTAATGGCACGCAAGTTACGTATGGCACAGCTGCACATCGCTACCGGCGGCCAAAATATCAATCGAATAATGAAGGCTGCGCGCCAGTAACACTGTGCCCGATGCATTTTCCACTGACCAGTCTGGAGTTTTCCCGCTGCAGCTGGCGACAGCGCACCTCGAGCTGTGACAGCTGACTGCTGAGCTGGGAGGCCCTCCGTGCCAGCCCCCGTTCCCGGTCAGTCAGCGGACTGCGCTGCTGAAACAGCAGGCCACAGACAGACGATAGGGAGGGCGGCAGTCACCGGGGCTGTCAGATAGACAGACATCAGACAGCTGCCGTGCAATGACTGCATTCATAGACACTCAAAAGAAATGATAATAAAAGTAACTTTATTCGTATCATTGGCGTTTTAATTATCCGTTAGCATAATACTTCACACAAAGCGCGTCGTAACACATCATTATTCATAAAAATGATGTAGACAGGTCAGACTCGAAGCACTTGGCATGCCCGAGTGCTCGAGTGCTCACTTATTTTCTTTATAGCCTTACCGAACAAATTACGTGTTGCGTTTATAGGCACTATGCTAATATACAACGAGACAAACGCCTGCACTTTTGGTTCGTGAAACTTACCAACACTGGTTTATCGGCGCTGGTCCGAGCTCTCGAGGGATGAGCGCGTCCTTCATTATTGCTTCTGACCGCCGAAGAACTGAGTTGCCGTGACGCCCCGGAAGTTCCATGGCGCTCGCTTTCTGCTGCGTTTGTCAGTGTGACAGCTTGAGTCGGCTTGTGAATGGGTACGCGCTGCTTATCCAATGGCTGGAGTCGATCTGACGGTAGGTTGGATTCCCTCTGTCCCACAGGAGAGCTCGTTTTACCAACGGCCGGACGTCTCCTCAAACTGCCGTTGCCAGAGCGGCTAGCGGTCCTCCCGGTTGGGCTGGCCGCCTGCCCCGGCTTGCTCTGGAGCCCAGCCCGCCTCAGCACCCTCCCGTACCCCTCCGTCTGACCAGCCGGACCTCTGACCTCCGCGCCTCTCCCCCGCCCCGGTCGGCCTGTCGCCGGTGTCCCGGTCACCAGCCGCGGAGGTACCCTCGGCGAGCGGTCCCCGAGAGACACCCACCAGCTTCCATCCCCACCACCGGTACTGACCTCTGCTGGACCCGCTGCGGAGCGGCTCGGAGCGCTGGGGAACACATCAGCGGGCACCGAGAGCCGAGTGGCAGGGAGGGAGCCGGCAGCACGGGGCGGGCCCGCCGCGGTGGAGGGAGCGGTGCCAGATGGCAGCAGTGGGGTCTGACCAGATGGCGGGACCGTACGGTCGGGAGGAGCCGGTGTCTGCCGGTCAGTTCTGCCAGAGTGAGAGCGGGCGGTGTCTGCTGCTGGGCTGGCAGGGGCTGCTGCATTGTTAACACCAGACTGACTGATGGGTGGAATCTCAGACGTTCTGGCGGCTTCAGTTCTGACATCAATGAGACGATTCGATGAAGGGCGAAAGGACGGTGCAATGGAACCTGGAGGGTCAGCAGACCTCTCACCGGAGCTACCCTGATGCACCTGCCTGTCAGCGGGATCCTGACGACCTCCAGGCCCTCCATTTGCACTTTGAGATACTGCCGAACTGGAAGAAAATCTGCGCTCGGCTGAAGCGGTATCGGGTCGAGTTCGAGTCCGTAAAGGAGACCCACCAATAGCGAGAGGAATCCTAGACGCCGAAACCACCCTGCGTCCAACGGACCCTCTCTGTGAAGCCGTCATCTCACTGGGAGAATGCCTTCTTCTTACTTCAACTATCTGAGGCCCGTTCATGATGTTCTCAATCTCAGAAGATGATATGCTATGGTTTTTGTCAGGGTTGCCCGGCTCTGCGTTTTTGGGTGTCCGGGATCCCGATTTGCTACTTATGTCGGAAACGTGCGAATCTCTGTCAGATCTAGAGGAGGCAATAGAGTATCTAGCCCCTCTTTGCTGGCGTCTTAGGCCGCTTATCTCATTTTTCGGGTGTTTGACCTCTGACCGCATCGCCAAGTTCATTTTTGAACCACTGTCATTGCCACGATTGCCGCCGAGTTTTTCGAATATTTCAACCAATTCCTTTCTGAGCGGGGTTTTGACCGAAGGGCCCTTGAAATATTTCGACGTGCGCTCGGCCTGCAGTCTGTTGTATCTGTCCCTGTGGGACGAAGTTTCTGAGAGTTTCTCCGGAGCTGCCGCCCTCTGCCGCCCACAATCCGCCGAAGGTCGATCGGCGGGGGCAGGGGCGGCCGCGGGGGCGGCTGGCCCGCAGTCATCCAGCTCAATCTCGGACTCGCCCTCTGGCTCGCAGCGGCCGCCGTGCTCGTACAGATAGCACCACGAGTACGAGTCGGACACGTCCCTCCTCAGACTGACGTGCGAGCGCCACAGTCGCTGCTGGCCGCGCTCAAACGAGTACATCGCCCGACAGTGCCGGTGGTGATTGGCAGACGGGCCACCAGCGTGCAGTCCTGCACTCCGGAACGCTGACTCAGAAGGGCAAATAGGCCTACCATCGGTACAGTCACATCCACTGCCACACAGCTGCCGCAAAAAAGTAGCAAAACACACTTCAGCACTGTGAAAAATAAATCTCAGCAGATGATCACTTTCTATTTGATTTATCGATTCAATTGATAAGTTCTTAGGAGGCACGTCTGCTGCGTTAACGCCCTCTTCGCATTTCAATTATCGTCTAATGTAGTTATCAGCTATCCTGCACCACAAATCACAATGCAACTATGTTGATTGCACCGCAAAGCACAGCGCTGTGAGAGTAGACTGCACCGCAAAACACAGCGCCGTAAGAGCAGACTGCACCGCAATACACAGCGCCGTGAGCGTAGACTGCACCGCAATACACAGCGCCGTGAGAGTAGACTGTACCGCACGACGCAGCGCCGTAAGGGCAGACTGCACCGCACGACACGCAGCGGCGACTGCGGCGCCCAGGCTTGTGCGTCATTTCGGCTCGGGGGCTCGACAGTGATGGCTCCTTCGCAAGTGTTCGGCCTAGGCTGCCCAGCGCGCCCGCGTGCGACGTGTCACGTGACAGGGCGAGGTGACGCGACGCGACGTGACGTAAGGGAGGCACGCGCCGCTCGGCCCACCGCAGGAATGAATGGAACGGGGTTACGGCCGAAGCTGGGCTGACTTTGGTACTTACATAAATATTTACATTGCGTAGGTAAAACGGCAACTCACTTAATCTTCCGTTAATTATTTGACTTTAATTCACCAAGTTCAGTTGTATTGTGAAAGTTACGCGTATTTATTTGCAAAATATTTTTTACCGAACCTATGTGTGCATCCTGTGTAGGTCCTGCTTATTTGTTAACGGTACAATCTAAAAGGAAAACACAAATACAAAATCGAATATCTCTCGCCACCCGCCATTCCTCCCATCCTGTCTCCGCGCTGACGGATCGTGCTGAGCGCTGACCCACTGGTCACTGGCGCGTGCCGCGGGCCGCTGACGGTCGCAGCGTGGCCGACCTTGTGTCGGGGGTGGGCGGCCAGGGACCAGGCACTCACACAGCTGCGCCGGAGGTCAGCGCCGCCGCTCGCGTCTGACCCCGCTCGGCCGCGGTGGCGTGACCCGATATCACGGCTATCGACAGGCCCACGGTAGATAATAGCAGGCGTAACGGCACGGTAGCAGGCGTGCAACGTGCATCTCCCGGGGTACACAGCATGGTCACTGGGATCCACAACAGTCTCTGGGATCCCATCGGCACATGGCGCTCCTACCAACCGGCCTTACATGTATATGCAGCGCTTATATGTAGGTTTGCTGCGCTTCTAAAGTTATTGCAATATTCGTTCCAAATTTAGGGTTAAAATGAAAAGGAAAAAAAAACCGCAACGAAGGTAGGGCGAATACCGTGCAGCTGTTTAGGTATCGCGCAACGCAATGGTAATCAGAAGCTAAAAACAAAGTACCGACACCTGAGGGTGACGATCAAAGTAACGTTAAACGACAATTTGGATGACAATTGACATAGCTGGGTAATGAATCATCAGTATCCTTATATATGTAGAAGCATGCTCATTGGTAGCAGTGACCCAGGGCCGCGGCCAGCACTCTGGTTACCATACGCAGATGCCCGTAGATGCCTAATGCAGTAGGCAGCAGTGGCGGCACGGAACTTTCCACTCGCACGGCACTGCTCGGAGTTTGGACTTTACAGCTATCTTTACCCCCTAGGGACGGGAAAATGTGACGCGACAAAAGCAATTCATAGAATCATTTAATCAACGTCTGACAGCTATGGGAGCCATCACGGTCATATTAATACAGTCCGAAACACAAAACACGCCGTTGCACTGCATTAAGCTATTCATCAATTACAAGAGAGCACTTGCTGTTTGCGTTCAGTGCAGAGCGGCACGTGGATAAACTTTACCTGCATGTGTGAAAGACCAGCCTGTGAGAGCTGGCTCGAGACGAGTGTGAATGTTCTGAGACGGGGAAGGGACGATAAGATTCTGCACTGCCACACCCGTATGCACCCGCACCTGTGCAGCATAGTTACTGACACCGCCATTTACAATAGACTCAATCCCATCTGTTGTTACTTCTAACCATGTAAATGCCCAGATTGTAATTGTAATACTGCGGTAGTAGCTTTGGTTACTTTTTTCGTCTCATAGTGACAGGGGCAAGGTGGCGCGCACCACTGGGTAGGGGGGGGGGGGGTCAGTCGGGCCCTGGGGGGCACAGCCGCACAGGTGCAGTGCTTCCCGCGACGGCTCCTTATCAGTCGATAGGTACGACCCAGAGGTCCTCTCTCTCTCGGTGCCGAACTGGGATACCGCCGGGACTAGTTGACGGACACAGACAGCCATGGCGCCACGGACCGGAGCGGCCCTGTTCTGCTGCCTGCTGATCGGTGAGGCACCGCCGTCTACCTCACCAGTCACCGCACCATCGGACAGTCACACAGGAACCCTCAGTCACCACAGCTCCTTCGCTGCCATCTTCACCTCCTCGTTGTTAGCTACAGTCGCGTTCCACCCACTGCGACCCTCAGCCTCGTTGCTTCCATTACCGGTGAAATCACATGTTTACCTGCCAGTCCCGCCTTGTCCCAACATCACAGCGTCAAGCATGATGAGCTCCAGTTGGAGATTCGTATTTATTATTATCATTAGTATTTTGATTTTTCATGCCATCGTATTTTAGTTGTTTGCTTTGGGTGGTCACTGTCATATTTTGTTTATATCTCAAAGCTAGCTTATAGATACTAACTAAAAACCTTGGATATAATTCACCAGTAAAACGCCCTTTGGGCGAAGAACGAGCGAGCGAGATAGTGAGCCCTGCACGTGCGGAAGGGCGAGAGGGTGCTTCCAACGGGCTTGAGCAAAGCACCCTTCTAACTGGTCGCTAGCGGTGTGCCAAATTTGAACGCAATCGGCCCAGCCGTTCCTGAGATCTGGAAGCGGCATTCTGCACGTGCGCACGTGCAAACGGGGTCCAAAATGACTTTTGCACGGCACCCTACTAACCGGTCCCCAACCGTGTACCAAATTTGAGCGCAATCGGCCCAGCCGTTCTCGAGATCTGGAAACGCCCCCTGCACGTGCGCACGTGCAGTAGCACCCTAACCGCAACACATGGGAATGCATTGCCTGGTGGGTGCCTACCTGTATGCCAAGTTTCAGCGACATCGTCCCAGTAATTACCGAGTTACTGAAATGGGAACAAATTTGGCACCTCTCATTGTGGTATTTTGCACGTGCACTGGGGGTGACCCACATGCATCGAGAGTATCCTATTTTGGGTAGAAGGGATGCTGCTACCCTACAAAAATTATCGCAAGTCAATCGCCCAAGCGGCTGCTGAGATATGAGCCTCTCAAAATCACTACTTTTGCAAGACAGCTTGAACACCCTTGACTTTTCACGTGGCACGTGCCACGACGGTCACTGAGATGTATCAAAAGTAGTCAATTACGGGGTAGAAGGGATGGGGCTACCCAACAAAAAAGACTGCAGGCCAATCGGTCCAGCGGTTGCTGAGATATAAGCCTCTCAAAAGCGTTACAGGCCGGGCCGGGCCGGGCCGGGCCGGGCCGGGCCGGGCCGGGCCGCTCATACTGATATTTTTCCGTTATATTGAAAAGACTCACTTCGCTCGCTGCGCTCGCTCGCTCGTAATAAGCGGCACCGACCCTGAGCGCTGTCCTAAATATGACGCCGTGGCGCCGGCCGCTTCCTCAGCGGGCGGCTCGGCCTCGCTGGCCGACTCAGTCGGCGAGAGCAAATTCATCACGGAGCCGCAGGACGCTGTGGTGGCGCCCGGCGGCCGCACTCAGCTCGACTGCGAGCTCATCGACGGCGACGTGTGCTCCTGGCGCATCGACGGCACCCACCTGGGCGTCGACCACTTCTACAACGTGGACCCGCCGGCGCAGGTACACGCGCTGTTCCCGGACCACGAGCGGGTGTGCAGCATCGTCATCACCGACATCGACTGGCGCTACGACGGCTACTGGACGTGCTGGCCGCTGGGCGAGTTCTCGCACTACAGCTCGCGTGCCGCGCGCGTCACCGTCTCAGGTCAGACTCGGGGGCGGCCGGGTCGGAGCCGGAGCGCGGAGACCCGCGGCGCCGTGCAGGGAATCATTAATGAAGCTGTGATCATGGTAAAAGGGTGACGCGCTGGTATTTCGAGGATATAAATATTGCATGAAGTCGATCTGCTCCCAAACGAGGCGAGTGCTGCCCGAAGAACTCCTTGTTAACCAACTTGTTGGGACATAAAATTATGCCATCTTTGGTTTAACTACTTGCTAATCCTAGTTATTGCTCTTTGTTGCGGCATGACCAACAAATAGTCAATGTAGACTACAAAACAGTTACTAGCATCATTTCAAACGACGCATGCTTCGCCGTTGTTTCCAGGTACCCCGATAACAACGGAGCCGCCGACTGCGGAGCCGACGTCCCAGGCGCCTCCGGAGCCTTCCACCACTCCGCCGGCTCCCGAGACCAGCACCCCTTACCAGCCGACCACGACCCCCTACCAGCCGACCACGACCCCCTACCAGCCGACCACGACCCCTTACCAGCCCACCACCACTCCGTACCGCCCTTCGACGACCATCGGCCCGGACCCAGACTTTGTGTGCCCGACGCCTTTCGGTCTGTTCGCCGACCCGCGCGACGACAGCTACTTCTACTTCTGCGAGGAGGGCCACCCCATCCACCTGCAGTGCGAGTACCCGCTCCACTGGGACGACGTGCAGAAAAAGTGCGACTAGCCGGCGGACGCTGCCGACCGGCTGCATGCAGCGTTCAAGTGGAACGAGAGCCGATGGGGATACCAGGATATGCGGCAGAGCTGGCTCAACATTGGTAGTAGTGTGTCCAAACCATCTGATAATTGTTTTTGAAGCCGAAATAAACATGAAAATATCACGGCCTCAGATTGTTTGTTTTTATTGATTTATTCGACTCACACCACCAATGCAGTAGGTACCTACATTCTACTCACATCCCTTCATTTCATAAATACATAGCGCGTTTAAAATGCAAGCTTTGTACTTACAACGGTAATAAAATTGCCGTCCTTGAATAAAACTTACCTATTTAACACTTGCACTTGCAAAGGTCGACCAGACTCCCCCTCGATTTTGCGCGAATAATTCGCGCAAAAAGTAAACGACCGCGACAAAATTTTCAGTACCCTCAAGTAGATGAATTCTACATCTACCCTGAAAACGTCATAAACTTGGCTCAAATGACCTGTGACCTATTTCTCGAGATCATGTTTGGCCAGAATTGCGATTCGGCCTATGTCGGCTCACATTATCCGCGCGTTTCCCGCCTTTTGCAGTTGTAAACGTTTTAACCTGTGAAATGATGTTGGCCCATGCATTATGGTAGGTTTCAAGGTCACGTGAAGGTCAGGTCAGGGTCATTGACCTTTAATTACCTTGGTTCACTTGTTCGAATTTTACATATTCCTAGGGTGGTTTTTGGAACTGATTTCCAATTTATTAGGTATGTACCTATTTGAACATTTACAAAGTAGTTTTGGTGCCTTCGTAACAGGTTATGAAAAAGTCAGTGGTGGTTGACACCTAGGTACTATGGATACCCGGCAGGAAGCTTTCTGGTTGACCTGACCTGACTTGACCCAGCCTGGTCTAATTGCATGAAGACGTCATCTGTGATCAAACTAACATGAAATCCGTAGCCAAATCTTTTAACACCAACCGCATTTTCGGGTCAGTTCAGGTCACTGACCTATGACGTCATAAGTGAACCTCTGCACGGTCTTCAGATGTCGCAACTTCACAACGCCCTCCCTCACTGCCAGAGGAGCTTTCACAGGGAAATGAAACTTGCAGGATCTAGTATCTATTACGAGTCTCACAACTTGTATGTCTCAGATTTTTCCTAAAGGTCATATGAGGTCAGGTCATTTTCGTGACCTCACCATTATGTAGGTAGGTATATGTAAGTCAATGGGGAAAAATGAGAACTGCTATTCTGGCGCCGGGAACGATCTCCTACTATCTCAAGCACACAGAATAGTGATTTGATGCACTCCTTGCAAGGTTAGATGCTTCGCTTTTGTAATGTTGACCTTGCGTACGTCATTTATGACGTCATCAAGGTCATATTAGTTTTTCGTCAATAACTCCAGATAAAATTGAGCTAGCGAGTCGGGAAAGCCACCAATGGACTCAGGAAGACCTGCCGAATCGAATGATATGCGACATGACCTCTTTCGACCAATTTCGTGACTTGGGGGTGCTGACCTGACCGTGACCTGAGGTCAACACCCTAAGTTGACCTGAACCAAACAAAAAGTATATCATTCGACGCGCCGGAGCAAGGCGAACACGATGCTGCTAAAATCGCGGCTCTGCGGCCGTTTTTTGCGAAGTTATTCACCAAAAACTGAACCGTACCTTGGGGCTTTTGACCTGACCTCAGAGGTCACCGGTTGACCTACGACCTTAAAATCGGGTACCAATCTCTGCGTCTCGTAACGGCGCACACGCTCGTTTTTTCCGCGACGCGCTAGCTCCATCAGGGGCGAAACGGCGAGGGGGGTCGTACCCGCCCCCTTCTGGGCCGGCGCGTATGTAGAAAACCAATAGGTCCGGCGAGGGTTAACCCGCGCCCCGCTGGGGGGGGGGGGGGCAGAATCTGCCCCCTCCCGTTTTCGCCGATAACTTCTAAACGCGTTACGCCAGCGACATCAAACTTTCAGTACCTTATCATACGTCAATTTGACACGTTCCCTGAATATTGGAGCGAAATCCGTCGAATTTCTTTTTTTAGAAAATGACGTTTTAGTGACGTCATGTCCGCTCCGAAATGCCCTTTATCGGCAGCAGAGCCGACTGGAGCTCCTGTGAGCGCTGGCGGTGCTCTTGTTGCCGGCAAATGTCTTGTGAGTAACGATCACTGGTCACCACTAAGTCTATGATATTTTGCCACGATTTTCTTTTCTTCTTCTGAGCCTTGCCTATCTTTACCTTGTTTCTCTTGCGGACAAGACGCTCGGTTTTGAAGCGAGCTGCAGTTTGTCACGTCTCGAGTTGCTCGACTTGGCAGCACGGACAACTGACACTCTCTGAAAACGCTCGGCACAATTTGCTTCTATCGCCATCACCGTCACGTCCGAGACGTATAAACAGTCGGACTGTCCGCCACCGCGCCCCGCGCTCCCCTGGCTCATCTGCGGTGGACGCTCGTGTGTAATCGACAGCGGATGTCCACGTCTTCGCAAACGGATTGGTCTGGTTATCTGATGCAACAGAACGCTTGTCGATGGATCGAGCGGATGCAGAGAGATAATAGCCGTTTTCACGACGGGCTATCCGGCGAGTGCACCTAATTTGACCAAATCTGCACCTAATCTCTTTTACAGCAAATATCTTTATTTTATTAATTTATTTCAATGTTTTAATCGATGATGCTCTCTAATAATATGACAAAGCAGGCATATAAGTAATTAGTGCAACCCTAGCTGATAGCTACTAAGAGACACACTGAACCTAATTTGACCAAATCTGCACCTAGTAATCTGCACCAAATGTGTACCAGATGGCCGTCGTGAAAACGGCTATTGATGCGGAAGCGTCACGGGGCCGGCTAGGGCCTGATTGAGCCGGGTCGGGCCGCTCATTGTGAGAATCTCCCGGTAAACCAGGGATAAGCTCCGCTCGTTTATCAACATTAGGTACAGGTACCGTCGCTGATAAAGGACAAAAATAATAAAGAAGAAGATGTACACACACCTATAGCCCCACATCATGTAGAAGATACGGCGAATACCGGCATGTCCATCATCGGACATCCATCTGCTCTGGAGAAAGCTGAGTGGTGGTGTATTAAGGGGACGCGTTGGTCAAATTCCCCCACACCTCCCCCACACTCACTGCCAGCCACAGCTTCCTGTCAACGGTACACACACAGATAGCGAGAACGGATGCCGGGGCGTCGGCTATTTCTGCAGCGTCCGGCCACGTCACACCAACTTTTCTCACTTTCTTAGTGGTTTGGATTTTTTTTTTTAATAAGCGTTCATTTAAATTTCCTATTCTGTATTGATGACGTGATGTCTAACATGGTCAACCACAATCACATACAAGGGCACATTGAAACCTGTAACCGTAGGCCAGCTGCTCAGTGGCTGCTGGCTACCTGTCTTTTGCCTGCTGTCAGCATGTGGTCAAGAAAAATACCACAATCGTCCCAAGAACATCAGGCCCATCGCAGCAACGAATACACGCACAATACTCCGCGCCTCCGATAGCCGCTGTGACGCCGGACAGGGCTGCTGCCATCTCCGCGGCCAAAGTTCCGCGATAGGCGACGATAGGAGCTGGGACGGCCGGCCGCCGCGCCGACTCCGCGACAGTCGGTATCGGTCGGCGGAGCACAGGTGCAGTGCGTGGGCGGGCGAGAGAGACGGTCACCACTCACCAGTCGTCCGTTATCAGCTGTCCGTGCGGCGCCAGTGGTCAGTCTCCAGACGGCGACTAACAGTCGCCAGTCGTCTCTCCACTGCATCGGCAGAACCTACCACATGAGATCCGGAGGATTCCCAGACCGCGAAACTAGCCTGTGCCCGCGATAAGCAGTGGCCTGTGCTGTGTGCTGACGGTGTGCCTGAAACGCCCACTGGTTCTGATCACTCACTGGAGACAGACCTAGTGAGGACGGGCACATCGCCACCTGGACACACCGGCTCCTGTGCCATCCCCCAGCACCAGTCCATCGAGGTCAGAGCGAGCTCGACCCCTCGCTCGCTGCACCATGGATTTCCTGGAGAGCAGCCTGGCGGCGCCGTCGGTGCCCAGCGACCCGGTGGCGCCGGTGCGGCTCAAGAGGAAGCGCGGCCCGGCGCCGGGCGACCGGCCGGAGCCGGCGCTCGGCCGCCCGCTGCTGGACGAGCAGCAGCAGGGGGAGGGGGCCGGCCGCGCCGTCTCCCTCCTGGACAGGGTGCGGAGGTTCGCGGCGCTCTGCCTGTGGCCGGCGGACGACTCTGACCGGCTGCTGGTGCCCTCCGAGCCCAGCCCGAGCCTGCTGAGCCGGCTGGTCGGCACCCTGAGACGCGGCGCGCGCGCCTGCTGCGAGGCCGTCATCAACGGCTTCATCTGGTCCGCACAGGCCCGGCCCTACTGAGATGGTCCGCGTAGGCAAGGCCCTACTGAGAATAGTCCACGCAGGCTCGGCCCTACTGAGATGGTCCGCGCAGGCCCGGCCCTACTGAGACGAGTCGATAGGACATGATCCGCCCAGCTCCAGCAATGCTGACTGGAGACAGCCATCCATGCTTTGCCATATCCAGTCAAGTTTTACTGAGGTCTTGACCGCATACCATGCAAGTCAGGCGCTGCCGAACAAAGAACGTCCATAGCTCGTCCCGGCCGGGTCCTACTGATGCGAAAACTACGCCTGGCTAAACCAAATACTTGTACCAGGCGACCATACTGGAACATGGCCTGCCAAGAAAAAAAAAAGAAGAGCCCAGCCAAGGTGGACGATATATGCAGAAAACGAACGTGACACACGTGCCAACTCGAGAGAAAGATCTACCAATGCACATGGTATCCGGGAAAGGGATTAGTGATGTGTGCATATGTGGACACTGGAGAGCAATAGGGGTGTTAGACAGCTTGCTGTCAGTCAATAATTAAATTGGCGTTCATTTATGTTCTGGTTCGTACGGCGTACCTCATGTATCTCATAGAAAGCAGCGTTCCGTACGGTCAAACCAACGCATCAACACTATTATAATGTACAATGTTGTCATTTTGTGTGTATAAGATGCATAATTATGTGTAAAAAAAAACTAGTAAACATCTACGACGTAGATCGTGTATTTAAAAGGCTGTAGATGTATATGTATATCTAATGCAAATAACCCGCAAAGTAAAGTTCACACCGCAGCAAATTCGTATGTCGCGATGCTTCAAAAAGTACAAGTTCAATGGTCGAGGTCGGTTCTTATCATACCTGAGTCACGCTGACACGATTTTTATTAGCCCAGTCTCATCGAACTTCCCGTGTTACTCATCTCTATATCTGTTCAAGAGTCCCGATATGGCCTGACGAGCGAGCAAATCGCCTTCAGCTGCGCCACACCTAACCACCAGGGTAGGCATGATGAACGTATCTCTGACCTTAGCAAGGTCGGCCGGCGCCGGACTTTGCTGACGAGACTGATTGACAACGGACCAGCGCAAACATTCAACCACTTGTTGATATGGAACACCTGCTATTGCCGAACACCTGCTATTGAGCACCGCCCAGCCCGATCGTTTCGCTCGACAAAGTTGATGACGCAAGTAGTTAGTGTCCCTGCACCTTGGTGAACAGCGATTCGGTCTTATGAAACATCTTCGCGACAAAATGGTGCAGAGTAAATCCATCAAATCTTCACAAGTATAAACGAAAACAAGCTGTAAACTAAGTAGGTTATAATGTCTGTTCCAGGAACAAAAGAAATAACTGCTATAATGTATTGCTTCAACCAGACGAACAATCGATTCAATAGACCATCGCATCGGATCTTCAACGTTCCCGCATTCACAATTAAGTTAAGTACTAACTCGTTGCGGTTTTGGCCTACTACCTCATGTACTAACCTCATGTACTTCATGACCTCACATTATGCAGAAATTTAACTCTAGTACGCGTAGCTGTGCAGCGCACAGCAGTTTACACACGGGCTACGATTGGCAGTGTTGGTATAAAAATATCACCTCCTATTTAATTTGCTCATGATACATCTAATTTGGCCCATACAAGAGATCAAATTTAGCGCCCATCACAAAGTCAGTCATGACGAGCTGACAACATCGTAACAGGCGACTGATTTGTGAGGTAAATGCATTATGCAGGCAAAAGCACTTGGTTAGGTAACAAGTCTAGTTAAACCACATATGTATATCGCTAACACCCGTGAGTTGGCTAGGTTTTGAATGTGACTGGGCACACATTCAGTCACCTGACACCACCGGCCACCGGCTGTAGGTTGTAGCGCAGAGCGCACTGTCAAGCACACATCAATGTCCACTGACATTAATCCCCCCCCCCCTGTCCGCATAGAGCCCCTAACACAGTACCGCACACCTCACCACGCCGAACACTATCTACTGACAACCCTCACCCCTCAGTATACATACAGCACCCCGTGCACTTCGGCATACCTCACCACACCTGACATCCCTCACCCATATACATACAGCACCCAGTGCACTGCTGCATACCTCACCACATCTGACATCCCTCCCCCGTATACAAACAGCACCCAGTGCACTGCTGCACGCCTCACCACACCAGTCACTGACATCCCTCCCCCGTCCGCATACAGCACCCAGTGCACTGCTGCACACCTCACCACACCAGTTACTGACATCCCTCTCCCGTCCGCATACAGCAGCGAGCGCACTGAGTGCTAGACACACTGCTCCACAGCCCCCCCCCCCCCCACCCCCGGTCTACACGCAGCACCAGCCACCACGCACACTGTTCGACACACCACTCACTGTCACCTACCTCTCTCGTCGGACGGTCGTTAGGCGTCCTCACAGAGTGTGGGCCGCGCCCGCTGAAGCAGCGACCGTGGACGCCGCACACCCCGGCACGCCACTGAACACATAAGTGTCCGTTCAGCTGTTGCTGAGCTCAGTCCTGTCCTGGAACTGTTTGGCCACGGCCGCCTCCAGCGCCGACAGGAACTCGCACATGGTGGCCGACGGTGTGGTGATGAACAGCGCGTGCGCCAGGAACGGCAGCTTGCGCAGCGTGCGCCCGCTGAGGCCGCGGCTGGCCTGCGCGATCTGCCACAGCCGCAGGCTGCTCTGCGTGGCCGCGTTACCCACGTACTGCGTCAGCTCCAGGTTGTGCAGACTGAACAGCTTCTCGGCCGAGGAGATGATGCGCGTGCGCACCAGCTCCTCCACGCAGGAGCGGTAGATCTTGTAGATGGCCGCCGGTGAGGGCAGGTCGATGAACTGCTTGATGTCGGCGCGGTCGACGAAGGCCAGGTCGATGGCGCCCGTGATGTTGGACGTCGTCAGGATGAGCACGTTCGGGAAGCGTTTGATCTGGTCGATCTGTGTGAGCAGCGCGTTCACCACGCGGATGGCGTCGCTCGGCTCGGCGCTGGACGAGGAGGCCCGCCGCGCCGCCGTCAGAGACTCCACCTCGTCAATCAGCACGCACACCAGCGCCTTCGGGTCGTCGATCAGCTCCTGGATCTTGGTGAACATCTTCTGCACCAGCTTCCCGCTCTCGGAGAACCACTTGGAGAACAGACTGTGACTGTTGATCTCGATCAGCTGACCGTACGCGTAGCGGTCCGACATTCGGATGGCCAGCTTCTGCGCCAGCGCCTTACACAGCGAGGTCTTGCCGGTGCCGGGCGGCCCGTGCAGCAGCACCACGCGGTTCCACGAGATCACGTTGCCGTTGACTCCCTTGTCGGAGAAGAGTAGCGTGGTGGACACAAAGTTGAGCAGCTGCTGTTTGATGTTGGTCTCGTAGATGAGCGAGTCCCAGAGTCCGTGGAAGTCTCGGCTGGGCAGGATCCACTGGGTGGCGGCCGGCATGTCTCCGGCCTCGTCCTCCACCTCCTCCACCTCCGGGCCGGACTCCTCCAGCCGGTGCGGGTGGCACACCAGCTGGCACTCGGACACCGTGTAGCAGCGGCTCTCCTGCGACCCGGTCCGGTCGAACACAGCCACCTCGGCCGCGCTGGCGCTCAGCTTCTCGCCCAGACTCATGTAGGTGGTACACGTGGTCACCGTGCGCAGCGACGTCAGAAACTCACGCGCGTGCTTGCAGATGCGCGCCCGGTCGGTGGCGCAGCCGAGCTTCAGCACAATCTCCACGTCCAGTATGGGCGGCGCCGGCGGCTGGGCGGGCGGGGGCGGGGCCGGGGCCGGGTGGGTGTCGGCGTCTCCACCCGCGCGGCTGGGAGGCGCGTCCCCGGCCGGCCGAGCCCGCGGGCCCGCGGACGCGTCCCCGTTCATTTTACCGTTCACAGCAGGAGTGCTGTCCATGCAGTCCATTCTGGAAAACAAGGGCAAGGTACACAGCTGTAGGCATTAAACTGTGCTTTGTTGGGTTTATAGAGACAAGAGGTGTATAGATCCGGGGGAAATCAAACAAACCAAGGGGACATAGAAAACAATGTTACCAAGACAAAGACACAATCAGTATAAAATTAAGCAAAAAATTTCATTAATTTACCAACTTCTTTCATTCGAGCAGCTTTTCTTAATTGCAGCGTTTTTAGCTAATTGACTGAAGTGAACACTGAACAGTAATAGAACAATTCTAATCTAAAGGCATTTTTCTAAATCATAGGTAATAATTAATCCAAAGGAAAATACAAAAATGAGCTCAACGCTAATGTCAACGATTCCAACAAAGCTTGAACCATTGACAAAACATAACGTCTTATGACGCCCTGATTAATATAGTACCTATTATATTATATCATATTAATTAGTATAAACCAGTATAACGCCTTTTGGGGCGACTAACGGAGCAAGCGAGAGGGTGAGCCTTGCACGTGCAAAATTTCGAGGCGGTACCTCCAACTGACTTGTGCACGGCACCCTACTAACCGGTCTCTCTCTAGCGATGTGCCAAATTTGAGCGCAATCGGCCCAGCCGTTCTCGAGATCTGGAAGCGATACCCTGCACGTGCGCACGTGCAAAATGGGTCCCAATCTGACTTGTGCACGGCACCCTACTAACTGGTCCCTAACCGTGTACCAAATTTGAGCGCCATCGGTCCAGCCGTTCTCGAGATCTGGAAACGACCCCTGCACGTGCGCACGTGCAGCAGCACCCCAACTCTGGCACATGGATATGCAGTGCCTAGTGGGTGCCTACCTACATGCCAGCTTTCGGCACAATCGGTCAAGTAGTTACTGAGATATTGCAACAATTACAAAACGGACACCTCTTCGTTTTGCACGTGGCACGTGCATAAGGGGTCACCCACATGCATCGGGAATAGTCCAATACTTGGTAGAAGGAATGAAGCTACCCTACAAAAATTACCGCATGTAAATCGGTCAAGTGGTTGCTGAGATATAAGCCTCGCAAAAGCGGCCGCTCATACTCAGAAATTTCCGTTAATCTAAGGAAAGACTACGCTCGCTTCGCTCGCTCCGTAATAAAATCTAATGTCAGCCCGCTATATATAAGAAAACAATGACGTTACAGTTTCAATATTTGGCCGGTCCCGTAGCTCAGTCGGTAGAGCGTTGGACTCCGGGTGGTGAGAGCACGTGTTCCCGGTTATACAAGTCCGGGTTCAAAGCGCGAGGGCCATTGACGTTTATGAGCCTCCTGACAGGTAGGTATGGTTGCGCCGGCTTGGTAGACTGGCAGGCCGTAGCCAGGCGAAGTTAGTGAGGGAACCGGCCCGGCCGTGCGCGGCTATGTACCTACATACATATGTACGTTAACCCGGTACGCATGACCGCATGTACGCAATCTAAAAATGTGGCTAATTGCATCGATGGTCACTGCAATACAAAAAAATTGCCAATGATCCCGGAAAATTATCCCTGATTATCCGCATGTCGAACGCTAGGTATGAAGCACAGCTGGTAGCAAAATTCCAACTACTGCGGACTGCGGACTAGCGTGAAGGAAGATAGCGACGCATTCAGCGACGGATTCGGCGACGGATTTAGCGACGGATTCAGAATTCGCTGAAAACTCGTTATCAGGTCAAGTAGCACGCTGACACGCTGACTTGTTATCCGGTACCCCGTCGTTTGACCTCAAATTTGACCTTGAAGGTAAAAGGTCAAGGCCAAGGTCATGGTCACGGAGGCTGCCCATGGTGACGAGCTATCATGTATGAGCATTTTTGAGCGTGTTGGGGCAATGACTGGGGTCTGGGGATGTTATTGGGTACCCCGTCCTTTGACCTGGGGTTTGACCTCTAAGGTCAAACATAGGGGGTCAAGGTAAAAAGAATAAAATTAAGCCCGAGCGGTCTTGCATTTACTGGAATGGTTGTTTGAGACGTGGCAGATCAACTTCATCACACTATGCCCTCCTCCTTCTTTTAGAAATGACGCCTTTCTTTGTCCTTGTGTTTGACCTTGAAGGTCAAGGATTAGATCCAAGGTCAGGGTAGCGGAGGCTAGCCCACGAAGCTGGCCGTCGTTTAGGACCGTTTTTAGCCCGCACCTACCATAACTTCGGGACATTATCCGGTAGCCCGTCATTTGAACTCAAATTTGACATTGAAGGTCAAAGGTCAAGGTCATGGTCACGGAGACTGCCCACGGTGACGAGCTATCACGTGTGACCACTTTCGGTCCTCTTGGGGCATTTATTCGGGACCTTTTTGGGTAGGGGTACTCCGTCTTTGACCTCAAATTTGACGTTGAAGATGAACTTAAAGATGTGTTTTATGTCAATTTTTGGAATCAGCGTGTCCTACTTGACCTGATAACGAATTTTCAGCGAATTCTGAATCCGACGCTGAATCCGTCGCTGAATACGTCGCTATCTTCACGCACGTGGACTGCAGTGATTTACATGTTGCACTCTGTTCTGTTCTTCCTCTGTTCTGTACTGCTTCAGTACACACATGGCTCTGGATGCGGTCCTCGCTGTATTTCTGGCCTCGAGCAACAGAACACCATAATGCACCACTCTCCGTCACGATACCACCGGCCTCCACGCACGCACTCGGCGGACTCCCGAGCACCAGATTCCCGGTCCCGCCGCACGATCAGCTGATCGCTCTAATGGACGGAGACAGCGGACCCTGGCGGACGGCGGCCGAACTACCGGAGCTAGATGTCGCCACTGTACAGGCCAGCTCCCCGCCGTCTACATACTCCGCTGTGTCAAGAACATAACAATTCCTCTTCCCTTAGCTTTTTAAGTTCTACCCCCTACATAATCCGCACTGTTCAAACGATAATAATGCATTTGCGACACAACATACCCCGTTGGCACAGCGACAGTATCTTTCAGACCCAAACTGATACGCGGAACAAAACTAACAAAAAACAATCCATGAACAATCCAACACTCGCCATTCACTTGACAGGTTCACGTAGATCCATACCGGTCCGGAGGTCGGAGTCGAGATCGGTCACGGATTTGCGACACAACATACCCCGTTGGCACAGCGACAGTATCTTTCAGACCCAAAACTGATACGCGGAACAAAACTAACAAAAAACAATCCATGAACAATCCAACACTCGCCATTCACTTGACAGGTTCACGTAGATCCATACCGGTCCGGAGGTCGGAGTCGAGATCGGTCACGGAGCGCATACCGGTGTGCACCAGAAACCGACTGTCCCCCGGAGTCACCAGCTGTAGCCGCGGAGCTCGGAATAACCGCGTCGCCACGGTTCCCTTCCTCCGTATGATGACCTCCCACCGGCTTGTTCAGCTCTGCAGTAGGCTCGGATACGTTACTGCTGGCGTCTTTCTTCCTTTCTTCTGTTTCCATATTCCTTTCGTCCTTCTTCTGTTTCGTTTGTTCGTCCACCTTCTCTGCTCGATTTGTCTTCTTTGACCACTGTTCTTTTTGATCGGTTTCGTCTTCTCTTCTTCCTTCGTAGTTTCTTTCTTCCTCCTCTCTCGGTTGTTTCGTTTGGCGTAGTCTTTCTTCTTCTTCGTTCAGCTGTCTCGGTCTTCTGTCTTCCTGGCTTTCAGCTTCATTCTTGCTTTCACGACCTCGTATGTGATCGATATGTCGAGTGAACACCCGACCATCGTCCAGCTTCAGTTCGCACAGCTGACTGCGGACGGACGTTACGACTGCAGCATGCCACCTCGGCTCTCCTCTTCCCACTTCCGAGACGTACACAGAGTCACCAATCTTGAATTGACGAGACTGTGCCTTCTTCCTCAGGATTTGCTGGTCTTGCTGAAACTCGACTGTGCTTCGGAGGTCTGGGAAAACCAGATCGAGGTGCGTTCGGAGTTTCCGGCCCATCAGCACTTCAGCTGGCGTCTGCCTGGTTGTTGAATGCGGCGTCGTTCGGTACTTGAACAGAACGCGCGTCAGCCAAACTTCGAGTGTGCCTTCCACATACTTCTTCAGTCCTTCTTTCACCACTTTTACTGCGGCTTCCGCCTGTCCGTTTGATGACGGATGGTACGCTGGGGTTCTCAGATGTCGAACTCCATTTGCTCGCAGGAACGCCGCGAACTCCCCACTGGTGAATGCGGTGCCATTGTCAGTTACCACCACTGACGGCAGTCCGTGCGTTGCAAATGTTACTCTCAGCTTGCTGATGGTTGCTGTTGCAGATGGTGTTGACGTCACATGAGCGTCGATCCACTTGCTGGTGCTATCTACAACAATCAGCAGCCATTTTCCTTCTATTGGTCCAGCGTAGTCGAGATGAAGTCGGGTCCATGGCCGATCTTCAAATCTCCATGGTCGCATTTCTACCGGCGGTGCTGAGCTGCGATGCTGTTGACAGCGCTCACAGCACTTGACAGTGTTCTCGATGGCGTTGTTCATTGCTGGCCACCAGACTGTCGAGCGTGCAGTCGCCTTCATCGCACCGATTCCAGGATGACCATCGTGTAGCAGCCGAAGAAGCCTGCCTTGCAGCTTCTCTGGAACCACCACACGGTTCCCCCAGAGAAGACAACCCATCTCGAGGCTGAGTTCTGTCTTCCGGTTCTGGAAGGATTTCAGCTGGTCCTCCACTTTGTCTGGCCATCCTTGAGCAACATGCGTCATGACTTTGCTCAACACCGGATCTGTAGCCGTGTACATGCGGATCTGCTCAGACTTCAGCAGCGTCTTCTCCAGCGTCTCCAGCATCATGACTGTTTCTGCTGGTACTGGTGGCGTGGCATCATCCTCCAGAGGCAGCGGATTACGACTGAGTCCGTCGCTGTTCCGCTGTTTGTGAGCAGGCGAGTACACCAGAGTGTACTGATATGCTGACAGGATCGTTCTCCAACGAAGAATCCTCGGTGACGTCATCAGCGGTAGCTGCTTGTCTGGTTCGAGCAGAGCCAGTAGCGGACGGTGATCTGTCTTGATGGTGACG